TGCCCTGTTGAGTGGGAGTGAAATCTCTCACCCGGTCACGTCATAAGGGGTAAAGCTCTAAATAACTTTTCTATATGCAATCGGACATGGAGAATCCAAATATGAAGGAATTAAGTGTTAGAAGTGCAAAGAAAAATAACTATACAGGATTTTTGACAGAAAGCCACTTTTGCCCATACTGAGTATTTCAAGGTTCTCTCCTTGAAGAAAGGGTCTAGAATTTTTTTCAAGGTGATATTCTTGTAGAGCTCGTCGAGCTCTATCGAATGATGTGCGTTTAAAGCAAATCTATCAACTGCTCGAAGTTTGAATTTGGCGCACCTTACGGAACACATTAACTGACCTTGTAAAAAGTCTATATTTTTTTGGTTTCTCCGATATAGTGGTCTGCCTAAATGAAATTTTTAAATATCTCAAACTCGGTGCGATCACATCCCTAAGGCAAGTGCTTTTAGGACTCAATTTTCCGAAGACTTTGTGCAAATCGGATTTTACTTTAAGTGTTTTTATAGATGGCTTCGCCCACAAAAGTCATATGGTATTGGCAATCAGACCATGACCCAATGCTATCAGAGGAAGAGACATGGAATCGGTTTTCGGACATTGAAAACAATAGAACCGCTCTCCATCTGCATACTCGATTATAACGGGTCGGAAATTCAAAACTTGAACAGGATGTTAAGTAGTAGTTTTGCTTTTGATCTAGTGCTTTTGGTGTTTTCATTTCATTCTTTTTCACGTCATCTGTTATGTGATGATTACATACGGAGACCATATGTTTATAGTGACTTTTATCTTTCTTTCCTGTTCTCTGTACGTCATGTTCTGTTCAGTTCTTCTAAAATCATTAGTCTCCTTTCCTGTACCTTTCTCGAATATTTAGTGGTACGTATATATAGCTGTACTTTTCATGAAGGAAGGAATCTCACTTCATTTTTGTTGGTCAGATGTATCAACAGTGTGACGGAATATCCATGAGATCCCCTCGGTACTTTAGCTGGCATATATATGGCTGATTTTGAAGATAAAAATATTCCATTTCTACAATAAAAAGGTCTTGAATTTTGGTACCGTTACGTTGACGACACTTTTTCATTTGTTCAACAAAACATCAACGTACAAGAAATATTATGCGTATTAAGCCATCATTAGAACATTAAGTTCACCATCGAAATTGAGTCTAACAACACATTATCTTTCTCGGTGTTAAAGTAATACAAACGCATGACACATATCAAACAACAATATACCGGAGACCAACCTTTTCTTGCCTAATGGCAAAGTGGACTTCGTACGTACCTATATTGTATAGACGAGCTGCACTAACATCTGTGATATATCGAGCAATTCACACCTGCTCCATCTTGAATTAGAAACAATAAAACAAATAGCTATTCAAAACGAATATCCAATAAGTTTTGTTGAAGTTCAAATTTCAAAATGGTGCAACAAGCCAACACAACAGTCAACACAAGACCAACAAAATCAGAAATACATTTACATCGAAGTTTCCTATAAACCACCAACAAGCTCAGTCTTAGCCAAAAAGCTGCTTCACAACTGCACTCTCATTCTCACCCATCACCCGCTCCAACACTGTCAATTCAACCCCAAAACAACGACCTGGTACAAAATCATATATTGCAGCAAAAGTTGCTGGATGTAATTACTACTGAACAATTAACTTATGAATGTACTAAAAATCTTGATGAATCACAACAACAACAGCAAAACAACTCGAAACACAAAATAAAATTGAATTAACTGAATGGCATGTAATTAGTAGTGACATTCGACAAGAACGACTTTTAATTAAAGAGTCCATTGCTATAAAAAGTCTACAGCCTAGTCTAAACGAACTGTTGTATCTACATCATTATATATATATCCCGAAGGTATACCTAAATACATTATTCCGGACCGGGGAGGTTGCAGACAGACAATCATCCTCACCATTTTTATGAACAATAATCTTTCGTTTTTGGACCTTTTGTTTCTAGGTAACTGCATAGAACATACAACCGACCTGAAATAATACTTGTAATTTCTAATTTTTCTTTTGTCAACGTAATTTTTTCAAAATATTCGTGAAAATGAGTTCATGGGAACTCGAAACGTTGAATTACGGTAATAATAAAAATATTTCAGAAGCCGTTGTTATAAATACAACTAATAATATGCCTCTTACATGATATAGTTGTTTTACTTGATTATTTCACACTTGAAATTAAAAAGCCTGACCATGGGTAGAGGAATATGTTCAGTTAGACTGTTAGTGTGACACCAATAACCGGAAATAGCTGCCATAGTAAGTACTTGAACAAAGTACTGAAATACTTACAAACTGCATACCCTAAACTTTTTCAAGTACTTTTTCAACTAATCCTTCCCTAAAATTTTTTTTGACTTTCCGGCAAAACCTCTGACATTTTTCCGCAAGCAACTTTCTGCCAAAAATTTCGAAAACTGTTTTTTCACCAGCCATCTTCTGCGAAACAAAACTTTTAGCCCTTCCATCCCTAAGAACAATCGGAAGAACAATCTGTTCACGGGTACTTACAAGTAATATACTTCTCGAAAAAGGATGCACCTAGCATCGTTAAGCAATTTAAGTACTTGCCTCAAGCACATTCACTGACATATCTGCGACAATTTGCCTCTAAATATGTTGCACTCTATCAAACGTTTCCATTTCCACAGAAACACACAAGTTTTGGCTCATAGAGTTCCTATTCAGTTCTGAGCAGTGATATAAACTACTCATTATATGTATGAGCATATATTATTAGCAGATTATTTCTACATATAATCTGAAACTTTCAAAAACTTTCGCGAACGCTATTTCATATTATTTAGCCTAATGTATTAATAGCAGTCAATAAAGCTGTGCGTTTCAAAAGTTTTTTTTCCATATGAATCGTCCGGATTACAATTTGAGAATCAAAAGTATTTCTGTTTCTGAGATCAAAAGTTTTATATTTTTGATAAATTCATGAAAGGGTACAATGTTGAACTCCATATTTTCAATCAGTTAAATAGATTAAAGAAAAAATGGGATTGTAGAAATAAGTAGTTGATGCTTAGTGAAAAAATGTCAGTATTTTCACTAATGAAGCAGACCGATGAAACACCAGTGTATCGCCACATATTCATTCGACATTAATTCTAATTACTTTTCTTGCATGCATCAGGAATATTTGAACCCTAAGAGAAACACATTATTAGAAAAGACGAATTATTTTTCTTCGATCTTACCTTATAAGTATCACATAACAATCCTATAAGGTTATCTTCTGCTTGTTCTTGAATTTTTGCCGTATGCTCCTTTATAAACAAAAGGCTAAACTCAGAGTAGCGGAAATAAATTGACGGACAAAACTTACATTGTTCAATGTGACCCAAGGAACGAAAGTATGTTGTGGTTGTAATGCGTCGGTCATCAGTGCATACTGATGTTGAAGGTCGTTACCAAGTTTACTTTTCGTGCATGTTGAGATTTTATCATAATCTATGCTGGATTTCAAAGCACACTAAAATGCTAAAGATATTTAAATAAACGTGAAAGACGAAAAATATTATCACTTACCTCCTTAGCAATTTGTTCAACATCACCTCTGTTCGATTCGGTACAATAGATAAATGGCTATTAAATAGTTAAGAAATAAATTACATTCAGAGTTAGAGAAAAAATGTTTACCATATGTTGAGTAATAGGATAATAATAAATTACACATGCCTGTAAAAAGAGTGAAAACGAATGTAGATTACAGTACATATTTATGTAAAATAATTATTTACTTACATGAATAATATTACCTAAGCATTCATCAGAACCATGTTGACAATAAAATTGCCATAATCCAGTTTCAGGTCTAAAGAGTTCCTTGGCATTACCATATGGAATAAATGTAATATTAACAATACTCGAAAGTGCTTGATAGGCAGGCCATACTCCTACAATTACAGCAATTTATCAGTTTTGTAGTAGTTCTTAAAATTCTTGATCATACTTATTTGAATATATTGCGAACAATCAGCACAAAGAGTTTCATAATAAAGTGAAAAATTAACACGTTCATTGTCTGCATTCCATACATAATTTGAACATTGTTCGAATACCTGTTAACTAATGATCAGATCAAGGCACGATTTTTCATTAAGCACGAAGAGCAATTAGCGCTTACTCCACATGTTTTTGCCGTTTCGTGAGATTGACACCATTTCGATGGCAGACTAGGACAAATAGTATCCGCTGTTATGGCAAGATCAATACAAAATACCATTATACACCAGGCAATTAGAATTAAACGCATTCTGAAAAAGATTCTACAATAAACAGCAAACTTATAAATAATATTTGACTTCTTTAAGAGCAAAGACAAGTATATTAACTGTTTTTCTAGTAATAAAAGGTTATCTAACATCGTTTGTTTATGCGATAAAGACGATGACAAACATTCTAACTTTTCAAAAGAACGTGTTGTGCAATACTACGACTATAGATTATGTAAATACACTTCTTATCTGACACGTTTTTTCTGTGTTATGGAAACTGTGCCTTTTCTTCCTGAAACCATTTAGCTAATTTCACAAATTTTTTGTAAGATCCCCATGCGACTAAACCGAGACTACAAGACAGGAAATGTAATGACTAAACAAAATCAATTAAAAGTCCACTAGTAATATAAAGACATATTTATTACGCGCACAAAATGAGACGTCTTTGAGCTCTCCACGGTATGATTTCATGAAACTGCATTCAACTGAAAAAAGGTGTCAATCTTGTAAAAATCAACAGAAAATCAGGAAAAAGTGAGTTAAGGGAGTTTGGATTCAGATTTCTAGCATCCCCATATCTTTAACAAGTTTAAGTCATTTAAGCAGGTTTCAATCACCTCTACCGTCAGTAATTCTCTCGTCCGAACATGTTTGTACAATAACTCAATTTTAAGTGCACTTTTATGCGCTTCACTATTAAATATACTATGTACATTTCAAAACATGCCATAACAATTCCTTCTCGTGCACTCACTATTTGCACCTTTCATAATTGACAGGTCATCTTTTAGTTCGAAGGAATTAACCTTTTCCCTAGTAGGATTCCCGCTTCATTTCGCGGCAAGAAAACAGACCCATCTTGCCTCGATATTGACAAGAAATTCGAAATTTAACGCGAGCTCGCTACTCTGATCACACCTAGTCTCGCTATTTTTCCCGTGTAATAAAAGCTTAAGAATCTTGACGTGATAAAATTTTGACACGATCGCGTTAAGATGTATCAATAGTCTGAACGCGATCGTGACAAGAGCTGAATAAATCAGTTACATCACTTAAACGGGATTCTGGTACGATCGTGATATTCTAGCAGATTTTTCTAAAACACTTCTCATAAAGTTTCCCTTACACTTTACAATCACTACTTTTTTCGTTCTTACTGATGTTCAAACGCCAACGCTTATAGTTTTATTTTCGCGTTTTTTCTTAATAGAAAAGTATTATAAAAATGATTTAAAATTCATAAAAAGTAAAAAATCAGTTATATTCATATTCTTGCTTAAAACACGTACAAGCCAAATAGGTTTTCATTTGTATCAAATCCAACAGAAAATATGACGAAATTTAAGAAAACTCTGATTTGAAAGATAAATCCAATATTACTCAATAGATATATAGTTTGAATCTTCAGCTTATAATGACGTTTATCGTGACTTCAGACAATTAGAGAAGTTTACTGTTGTTCGAAAGTGTCAGAAAACGTTTATGCACCACAGGGATGGATTGAAAACTTACGGAAGATTCTCACAAACCACAAACCGCAGGACAATGAAAAACTCCTGTTCTAGAGCCAGACACACTGCTTATTTTTTCCGAAATGAAATTAAAGTTTTTAATGCTTAAACTGCACAGTCGTATCTAATAACACCACATGTTTTTTCGTCGAACGACTATACGATGGGAGTTCTAGTATAATTGAGTTGATTGGCCATATCTCTCTACTACGAGAATTATATAACGTCGTACCCTCACTGTGCAATCATAAAGAAACCAAAAACTGGTTATTATTCAAATTCGCTTACCCAAACCACCAAGAGTCAAATCTTGAAAACTCCAGCAGCAATGTATGCCTCATTTTCCCTCGCAACAATGACTAGAAAAAATCGCTAGTGTTACACTAAAACTGTTGAAACTTTCATAAATGACACGGTTTTATAGTCTAATTTCGTTGATGAAAACAAAAAAAAATTATTGAGTTGGTTGTACCTACTGAGGTCTTCAAAGACCTTAAAAACAACAGTTACAAGATACTGAAGTTAAATAATTCCGATTAGTTTAGTTGACTAGCACGTGTGTGCCAATCAAACCCATGTCATTTATGAAAGTTTCAACAGTTTTAGTGGAAAACTAACGATTTTGGAAGCTACTGTAAGCGGCTGCGTGGATATTTCTGCGATACTTAAAAGATAGTTATCACGAAGTTAACTAACTGATATTTGCCGTTACTTCAATGGTAACTAACTTATCAGTTATCATTAAAGTAACGATAACTGTATTTTCAGTTAGCATTAAATCAACACAACGGGAGCTTTTACAGTCCTGTTGTACAGTTTGAAGTCGTCTTTCGAATGGTGTATGACAAACTGAAAAATAAATTCCAGTTTAAGTTTGCATTAGGTGCATCTTACATACAAAAAAAGAACGGGGAGAAGAAAAACAGTGTCACTCTTGAATTCTATCATCTTTGACTTTACTTCTTCACGTACAATATTTTTTACGGTTACCGAAGTCATGTCTAAATGTGGATGTTTAATTTGTTGATTATAATCATTCATATTAATTGTAACTGTACACAAACGCGAATTGATCACTAATAGGGTTGCACTCCATTTCGGTCCGGGAAGACACGGGTCGCGAAACGAATCCAATCGACCATATTTAAAACCACCAAGACTTAAAAACTTGAAAAGTCCCGCAGCAATGCATGACCCATTTCTCCGCGGCAAATAGAATCAATCAGCACCGAAAAAACCCAGAACAAAGGAGAGGACGAAAGCCGTCGTCCATTCTTTTCGTTCATAGGAGCAGTGGGACGATGAATTGTATGAACAAGTACAGGTTCCCAACCATACTGCACAATCGCCAGTATTACAATCGAAGTTCGATGTACAACTAGGGTACAAATCAGCACTAGCCGTATAAACTCCGAACGGTGAAAACATAAGCAGACGAAACATGATGTGCGAACCTGAAATTGAGAAAAAGTATTCAAACAATTTACGTAGTCATTTCTCCATTAATCTCAGAATCATTCAATCCTTCACTTCAGTCTCGTACTTCCGGAATCATTCAGTTCCCTAATAACTGAACAAAAGGAAACTATTTGCTTTGCTAAAGACTTTTGGTAAAAAAGCACATCACTTGATTCGGTTTTGACATTAGTCACGAATATGGGCTTGGTTTTGCTATAAAGTGCTTTCTCCATGGAGAAAAAACACAAGAAAACGTAATAGCATAGTTTCCTTTTCTTTACTTATTAGAGGATTCAATGATTCTAGAAGTCCAGGACTGATGCATACTAGAATTGAAGGATTCTTGGATTAATGGAAAAACACAAACGCTTTCTTCTTTTTTCCCTTTATGAAGATCGACGTCTTTTGCATTTTATTGACTAAACACAACTCAGAGCAAGGAAAGTAAATATCATCCAAGCTTTCGCTAGTTGGATTAGCAACTAAGCAACGCTTTCTGCGATTGTTCAAAAATGCAGAGTACGCAAGTCATTTACACACTTTAGAAGGATGCGCACAGTATGACTCGCTTCAAAGTCTGAGTAGGTATGATTGCAGCCGCAAATATGTTGTTGTTTTCTCTTTTTTCCTTTTATCAAGTTTCAGGGACCTCTCACATTTGCATTGTATGTGCATAAGCACAACTCAGAGCAACGAATGTTTGGTTGCCTCCATTCGCAACTAACGGAAGCCGTCAAAACTAAAATGGATCAAACGAATCAAACAAAGCATTTGGAGCAAACGAAATATTCGTGTAAAGGGCTTCTTTCTGATGTTTTGTGTAGAACAAGAAACATATAAAATATTTCTTGCTTTCTGCATTCTATTCTTTTTCTAGCAATTCGATTTATTCTAATGATTCTTATGGGCGTGGCCAACCGCCATGAAGCCTCGATTTGTTTTGTTCATGTAACACCAACCAAATATGATGAAATGATGATTTTTTTTACTACTGCTAGTACATATATAGTGCTAATGATCTGTTATTATTTCACCTGTATATCTCACCACACAGGAGGCTTGCTAAGGGATGTTTTGTCATCGTTTTGTTAAACATGCTTTACGCCCACTAGGTTTTCTACGAAATTTGAATTAGTATGTGTCAGATTTGGTTAGGATACCTGAATCGAGAAACCAAATATGCCATCTTGAAGAGCAGCTTGAGGCGCGTCGAGTGGTGTATAGGAAATCAGGTTTTCATTAGGTTTTGGACGAACTAGAATCAATTTACTGGTGGAGTGCTATCAGTACAAATCACAATCAATGGCTGATCAATGTTACCCCAGTGTCAGTCGAAGAAGTCTGTGAAAAATACTTCTTATGTGCAGTTTTGTAGCGCTTTTCACGGGCTACAAGCTCATATATTTAACATCTCCAACTGTCTCATCTTAACAGAGACAAACGCGATTTTTCAACGACTTAGCATCATCTTTTACGAACAGTCGATGACGATGGGTCTCAATGTACTGAGGTGTGTCAATCACAGAAGACGTGATCATACGCCAAATCTTATCATTAATTGCGCGCAGGAGATAGAGCTACAAAACGCACCGTTTAGCCGTTCTTCAACAGGGGGGCGTGGTACCCAAAGTGCCTTGCATTGAAACTAGTGATCAATTTTCAGATCCATCTTCCTCTTTTAATTTCATAAAATTTCATTTTTTCGATCCAGTCATACTCCTTCAAATCTAAGACCGTATTCGTGATCAGAAAGCAAAGCTGCACCACATGGATTATATTCGAAGATTTCAGTGTGTAATCACCCTTCCTGTACTCGTCGTATATCAAATTCTAGTAATGGCTCTCTTCTCTTGAAACTTTTTAAATTTTTCAAACCTATCTAGTTTCTTTTGTAGCCGACCTTTTTATTTCATTAGAAGCGCCGCCACTAAACGAGCTTTAAAAGAACGGATAGCTTTTTTTTATTTTGCTTTATTACTAAGAAAATACAGTTTTTCTGAATCAGGAGCGAAAACATCGAAATTCTGCCCGAAGTTCTCTATTTTTTCATCTAGAACTCACTTTTT